TAATCCCTTCACTGTTTGTAATCACATGTGACTTTATCTACAAAAAACCTGAATTTATACTCTATTGTTACTAGGACAGCAAAACATGACCATACGTTATATCTACCTTTTAAGATTAGATGGGATAGACTAATAAGTTGTATGAGAAATGATTTGATATTTAAGAAAAGATTGTTGTTATTCTTCAAATGCATGATATTGAATCAAAGATGGGACATCAAAACTTGTCCGATGATTAACATACAAAATTAGCAGCTAGGAAATGTATTGTACCAATAGTCAACATTTGAACTGTATGAACTTACTTTTTTAAGATGATATACTTATAACGATGCCTGGATAGCTCTGGTGTTCAAATATGGCTGGTTACACTTGTACTATTCACTGGAAACTTCTAAAAACAGACAAGAGCTGAAGTACCTGAAGTTTGATCACAATTTTATTCAGTAGCGATTTACAAATACGCAGATCTATTTTATGGACTCATTTCGTTTACCTACAAAATCAGCTTGTTTTACAGTGCCTAATGGAATAGAAGTGTATTGATTGTAATAACTGTGATAATTATTTAACTACACAGGTTTTTCATGAATTCGTTCACAAGTTCTTCATGCCATATTTTTAAAGGGTAATTGCGTATCTGTTTGACAAAATCTCCGTAGAGGAACATATTATTCAGTAAACAAATTTTATTGCAACGTTAACTAATGTTAAGAGAATATAAGGTAGTCTAAGCAAGTTACCAGTTTATTTTATTGTTCGTCGTAAACATACAATCCAATTCGAAGCAGCGTTTGAACTTCTACCTCACGAAGAAAACTTTCTAAGTCAAAGATAGGCTCCTTTGTTTAAAAGTTAAAAAAAACAGACACTTGAGGTGTGTTCTGGTAAACAAAATGAAAACACTATTCTATGGGTATTTTTTGTTGACGTAAGTTTACTGGCTTCAATTTATAAAATGTAAGATGTTTGCTTCTACTGACCATAAATAAATTCAAATAGTAGGAGACTGAAAAATAGGTATACTGGTAGAGTGTAATTCAATATTGAAGACGTTTATTTTACATGGCGCACAAGAAAATAGTAATATCTACTGATTGAAACTTCGAGCACAGTTTATCTCTCCTAATCATATCAACTTAATTATGCAATTTCAGGTTGCCAAAGCGTAAATGTAACTAAGCAATGCAGAATAAAACATTTTTTATTGCTCAATGGGAGCTCAAGAAATATAGTAAGGACTCATTAAAAATTTCAATATTTTTGTAGACCTCAGGATATTAGTAATGTCTTAATCCAGAGATTCTTATGTTGGTAAAATTTTAAAGTGAATAGTGACAAGCACGGAATCTTTAATGAGCAGTTGCAACAATAAAATTAACAAGTAATTTAAGAAATATCTAGTACTCAGACAGAACTTAAAGAAATCTGGAATTGAGTCTTGTTTAAAGAGAGTGAAAGCAGTAGGTAAATTAAATGTTAGATAAATGAAACTAGAGTCGTACGATGAATTGTCTCCAAACTTTCACTGAATGAACGTTTGAAGGCCTATGCCAGTTTTAGACAATCTATGAAGTAATTTCAGGAGTTTGATCAAAAACAAATCATATGTGAAAAATAGGGTGAGCATCTGGACTGTCATTGTTGGCTGATAAATAATTTATTTGAATGGTTATGTGTGCTGATGGAAGTTAGTGATTAATAACTTTACTGCAGTGTGTGAACAGAAGCCGTCATGCGTAAATTATACTACCATGCTAAATATCGACTTGTCATTCTGTTCACTTATTTTTGGGTGATATCGGACTGTTGACTTGACATGTTATGATTAACAGATAGGATTCATCGGTATTCATAGTTACAGCCAACATAATGATTTGTTTTCACTTTTTACCACCACTAATGCTATAAACTACAAATTATACTGTTAAACAGTTGCTTTGCTGCTTTTTTCGCAAAATCATTTGCATGGTGTAGTAAAAAGCAAACAGGTTAGCATTTGCATAGACGTCTGGTTGAGCAAGTTCCATATTGGCAGTTCACACTGATTGTCACGTGTACTGTTTTAAGTCAGAGGTGATGGTGTATATTGAGCTATATATTCTTCATGAAAAGTAGTACAGTTGACCAACGTAAAGCAAATATATCACACCCTGTCCCAGTATATAAACACGCAAGTTGTGACAATAGCTTTATTGCAGTACAACTCTCATACAGTCAAAATCAGAATCGACTAACTGGTTCGAAAACTTTCTAGAAGTGTTTGTCACCGACTAATGAAAGTCAAACTTACAGTAGTCTTCTCGGTTTAACCATGTTTATTGTTGGCGTAGTGCTTTTAATGCAAGAAAGCATACGGTCCGTGAATTAATTTTTTCATTTTTATTCTGTTGACTTGTCATATAAAAATGCTTATAAATTCTCATTTATGATACTTTATGACTACTGCGAATAGATTTCAACCTCATTAGCAACATCTGCAAGGCATTTTTAAAAATATAACAACCAGATACCAAACATTTGTGAGAAACGTCAGACACAAAATATAGCATCCAGATCTATTTTAAATTGAACCATGTTAATTGCGGTTCTTCAGGTTGCATTTATTGCGAAGAATTCTGCAAACATTCGGAGAGGAAATAGCAATCATTTACAAAAGAATTGAAATGAATTGAGTTTAGCGCTGAGTTTGTCACCAAGACATCAGGTAGTTGACTTGTAAGTCCTCTTATTGTGATCACCATTTAAAATTTTTTTAGGTAGGAAATAAAAGACAAAACCTGAATGATTTGAGACTCTGTTGAGGTAATCTGAGTGCTTGATGGCCATTCCCCTCAACTTAATGATTTGGAAAACGGATGAAATACTTATTAACTTCAACGATGAAAAAAAGGTATTGGCCGAATGAAGTCGCTCACATTATATGCCTCCTCACTGGCTGCACAAATTTATAATGCATAAATACATTTAAACATATATCATAAATTGGTCACTGAAGTGTTATCAATCTTACTTTGTCTAATCCTGAACGTTGACTGAACCTTGTAGATTATTTTTGCAGTGATGGAACTAAGTTAGGTGGCCAACTATCGCAGTAGGTTGAAGGCTGTTTACTGACTGCTTTCAACCAACTGAAGTAACGACTAAAGCAACAACTCTAGAGGGTCAGCATAATTTAATATCATCATGGATGTGCGTAAACTTGTACATGTGAGGAAGTGGAACAGATCAACGGCTACTATTACCAAATAAATGTTATATAATGTATCAATGAGCTGAAAGTTATGAATGATAATGGGTTTATTTTATTTGTGAAACCAGTAAGACAAACAAAATAAAGCTCCTAATAAGGTAAAGAAATGAAGTCAGTTTCTTCCCTTGGTGTATAGATTTTACTAAAAGCCGATAGTATGGAAAGTTCAACAAATCATTCTAACCTTTGTTATGCTAAAATTTGTCAAAAAAACTAAAGTTATGAAACCTGTTTGTTTTTATGACTATAAGAAATTTGGAATGATGCGTATCCATCAGTTAAGTTGACTGTATCCTGCCAGTCAATAAAGCGATAAAAATCAGCTGAAATAAAAAGTATGCCTCATATCTTATTTAAACTAGAGAAAAGTAGAAACGTTTCACTTGAAAATCTTTCTTAGTTAAGTACAAATTCAGTCTTACTGCTTCATACTATTTTATTTAGCAAGAATGCATTCAGCTTACTTTCGCCGAAAAGAAATTCAAAGATCGATTTTTATTTGAACTAAGGCAGTCTTGATGACAATAGGCTCTTTTGATTACTACTTATTCAGTTATCAAGAGTGCAGCAAGTTGAGGCTAGTTGGAGAAGATATAACGGTTCAAACAAAAAGCATGTAGGTTGTTCATATCCAACGGAAGATTATCTAAACATTTGTGTGCACTAGTCCAGTTCAGAATTACAACACATAAAGTCTTCAGACACCCTGTGTTAACACCTATAGTGCTGCAATCACTAATTTGATGAGATGCAGATCACTAACTACCTTGCTGATGCATTGATGTGAGCCACCTATAAGATCATCTTTTGATTTTTTCACCTTCACTTCTGGTAAAATCGCAACCGCGAGACAATGTAATCGCTAACTGGATGTAGACTTTATTGGCTATTGCTAACCATATGGTCAATTAAGTGTATAAATGGCATCCAATGGCGTAAATAGCTTTATTTCTTCATGGACCTTGTGCACTTTGCAATGTTTATACGCATGCTGAATATAGAATATGTGGAATAAAGTAGGATTTGGTAATCTGTCTGAATGTTAACTAGGTTTCATGATCTTTCTCTAGACATTCCCTTCTTCTGGCTGCTTAGTAGTCATATTTTCTCCAACAAAACATTTTATGTCCCATCTTATCTAGTGGTCTGTCATAGGGCAAACCATTATTAATGCATGTAAGTAGAAAAACGAACTACCCGTACTATAGTATAGATTTTAGATGAGAGAATACTAAGAAAGTGATATCAGGGAAAAATCTGTGTAACCTACATATATTTTAAATTAGGTTTTAATCATATTTCACCTTGTCATAAAAGTAGAAAACCAGGTTAATGGGATTATCCTTATTGAGAACTACTGATATCTTCTTTAGACTAGAAGAGAATTATGAAAATTTCCAGGGTGAAGTTGGGCAAAGGAAGGATGCAAAACGTTTGTTGGTTTAATAAGTAAGTTGACAATTTTCAGTAAATATTTATTTACTAAGGTCACTTTAAACTAACAATATCTAAAATCTTATTCTATGGAGAAATACAATGAAAGCGCTTGAGGTAAAAGTTAGTAATTGCTAAGAAAGAATGCTAACCATAACTCTTTCTTGACAAGTAAATATGTGATCAAACTGTTAGAAAATTTATTGAGCGAATACATCACATTTCTCAGATAACCTCGACCTTCTTATTACATTATGCAAATTCATGAAAGGGACCAATCATTTCAAATAACCATAACTCTGTTGAAACTAACCTGTCACAAAAATTTGAAGTATTTGTTGACCTACTGCATTTGTTGTGAATTTCACGAAAGCTTTCACTGCCCTGCGAATAATTCTATTTCTTCCAATCGATTTGTGTTCTTCACTTGTTAATAAATTGTATTTTGCAAATGCGTTTTGTTCACTACAGAATACTGGTCGCAAAACTGACTGATTACCTAAGAAATGAATGAAAAAGGAGAAGCTTGTACATACATCTTTTTATAAGAATGAAATTGATAACGTATTTGTTAAGGTAGAAGAAATTTAAATTCCTGAAACTAAGATAATAAATTTGTTTATGAAAATGACATTTTGTCACTGTGCAAACTTGATATCATTGGTAAAAGTATGAAAATAATTTATTTTAGTGTTTTCCTTTCAATAATTGTACAAATCTGCCAAAAATTTTATTTGTAGACATAAAAACACTTGGTCTGGACGAAAAGTTCAGTTACATCACATCTGAATAAGTGTTTCTTGTTATGGAAGACAAATAGAGATGCTAGACCCTGTTGGTAATCAATATTGTAATTTGCCTGACTGATACTCCGAAGTTCTCAGTACCTGTATTTATCATAAATCAAATAGAAGTGTACTTGGACTTTAATGCTTCACTTGTTATAGCCATTCCAAATTATTGTCATCTCATATAGGCAAATAAAAAGAAAATCAAAAGTTTCCTACATGTAAGAACTATTAGATAATCAGTTTTTGTTTGAATATTTTAAAAGTACTCCATTAAAATTCCATTTCTAAAGCGTCACAAATGCAGGATACATGGACATATTTTTCCTGTTGTTTGGTCATAGAATGGTTAAAAAGTCATATTTATTTGCAATTTTCTATTTCTCTAGCATTCTACCTATGTTTTTCTTTCGGGAATGAAACTGATCACTGGTTAACTAGTGAGAGGAAACAACACTCACATTTTTTACGAATAGCGTTGTTCCTTACTCACAAATGGAAAGATATATGTAAATATTTAGACTTTATTTAAGTTTTAACTATTTATTCGCCAAAAGTCTGTCAGCTTTGATAAAAGAGAGTTTAATATTTGACAATTTAAAATACATCTAGTAAGTTTTGACGAATAATATTGTTGGTTTTGTAAGCTTTGGGAATAGAAGATTTAATTACCTGTATATTATTTTAGCGACAGTTTGTTAAAATAGAGGGTAATCTACTTTCTGTTTATCACAATTCATTGAAACTGTTTTATCCAAGTGTCTAGATCTTTATTAGTCACTTCTAGTAAGTTTGAAGGACGTCACTGACAGACTAGCCTTTCATTAGATTTGCTATATTTGTAACCTGAGAGTTATCTTTTATGTGTCACTTTGTAGTAAAATGCCCAACATAAGTCTGGATAAGTTAAATCTTCAAATAGCATGCATGTAAAAAAACTCAAGATTACTTCAAGGTGGATTTTATGATATTTTCGTTTCATGATTCAAAGCGAACTATTTTATTTGCGAAAATTCAATTCACTGTTATAGCAAATATAATACAGAAGTTTGCTCTGATGACAATAATGAAAAAAGTAGGATAGTTCTTTTCATAGCTAAATATTTGTCGAATAACTGATGTGGAAGAAAAAAACTGAACGGGAAAAGGTTATACAGTTTATTAATTATGAGAAATTTTATTATTTCATTATGTTATTTTACTACCAGTTCCTTTGACAAAATTGATTCTCAGTCACCTTTAAGGTTCTAAAAAAGGTAGCTTCAAAGTAAAGTTGTAGACTACTGTTTTTGTTTCAACATGACTAGTAGATTTACTACAGTTTGGATAATATCACTTCAAAACGTGTTGGATGCGGATAAAACCAGTCAGACATGCTAAAAGTGGGCATCATGTATAGGTTTAATTTCGTAATCGGCCATGTGCTGATCTAATAAGATTGCAGGTGAACGAAGGTGCTTTATCTACACTAAATTCGCCTAGTTAACTGGTTCACTAGTTACTAGTCGGTCCTAAGCCCGGATAAAGAGAGAAGGTTGGGCATAGGAATAGCAACCCGACTCCGGGAAACCAAGCCAACCACTTAAAAAACTTCACAGCACAAAGAAAGTGTAAAAAACAAGAATAAACTATTCCTTGCTGGAATTGGGGAGATGAAATGACATCGGTTGGTGAAGGACTTCGGGAAGCCGATTGGCCGACTTGTCTCCCCTTCTCTCGATGAAAGGGAAAGTAAACATAGGGACATGAAATGTCCGCACAATGTTTGAGCTAGTTGGCAAGGCTTCTCAGATTGCAAGAGACACGAGGAGATATGGCATAGAAGTGCTAGGCTAGGAATCTGTGAGAAGTCTGCAGATAGGATGGAAGTGGACTCTCACAACTGTGAACTGGAGAGGAGTCAATAATCTGCTCCAATATTGTCACCCAAACGACAACCACAAGCACAGCATACTGAGTTGTGGGGTGGCTGTCATGATGTCCCTAAAACAGCATCGAAGGCTCTCTCTCTTGCAGTGGGAACCAGTCTCCTCCTACAGGATCAGCATCATGACAGCAAGACTCAAATCGAGATTAAGGAAAGTTACAATCATACAATGCTACACTATGCACCTAAAAATCATGCAGACGAAGAGGAGGGGAAGGAGGTGGAATTCTACAGACAGCTGCAATCAGTAATGTACAGACAAAACCCGATCCCAGTTGGTGACATCAGAATTCATTCTCATGGGTGGGGTGGCATGAATGCCAAACTCGGAGCAGACAACAATGGAGAAGAACTGGTCATGGGTCAAGAAGCACTCGGTAAAATGATGAGTGAGAATGGAGAACTGCTTGCAGACTTCTGTGGGTTTAATGATCTGGTGATTGGAGGCGATGCAGCGTGAACAAACAAAAGGATATTCAAAAGGCAGAGACATGGATTTGATTTCACCAGACACCAAGACACACTGAGAACCAGATTGACTTCATCTCAATGTGAAGAGAGTGGAGACACAGTCTCCTGGGACCGAGATGAAGAAGGGGAGCAGATGTCGTTTCAAACCACTCTCTATCTTGTGTAAGGAACCTACCTTCAAAATCAAGTTGAAAGCCTACACAGAAGTTGGTGATAGACCACAGTTCAAGTTGAACACCCAGAACAGAAACTGAACTGAAGGACGAAACTTCAGAGGACATCTTCACGCCAGCCATGAGAAGAAAATGGGAGACATTGAGCAACATCTCTGAAGGAACTTGCGTGGAAGAACATTGGACTCTTCAGAAGCTAAGTGGAAGGAATCCTGCACAACCGAATTAGGAAGGAAGAAGAAGGAAGATGAGAAGGAATGGATCTGCACGGAACATGGAGGCTGATAGTGGAAGGACAGGAAGATGGTGAGCACAATATGAACTAGTGCAGTGCAGTGCAGGTATGAACAATGAAAAGTACAAGGTATAAAACACAACACTGGAAAAGAAGTAAAGAAGAGTGCAGGCAAAGACAAAAGATAATTCTACAACACACTGACAAGTGAATCAGAACAGGCTGCAGGTGGGAGAGACCTGACAACACTATATCAAATAACCAGAGATCAACGCGGATGAAACTAGTGAAAGATAATGAAGGGAAATAAAGAAAACGATGGGCTGACTACTTCGAAAACTGTTGAATCACCCGTAACACTACTACCACCACCTGAAATCCGTCCAGAAATACCACCAGCAGCCCAGTTACAGATAACGAGTGAACGCAAGCCTTCCGACAAAAGCAGAAGTGAAGTCCTGGAAGCCATAAAGTTGTTGGAATTGGGAAAATCAGAAGGTCTATATGGAATTCCTGCAGAAGCACTGAAAAGAAACTCAGAGACAACAGCGACATGCTCACAACACTATTTCAGAAGGTTTGCAAAGAAGGAAGGGTACCTGCTGATTGATTGTGAGAAGGGCTACCTCGTGAAACTAACTGCCAAAGAACGGCGACCTAATTCTTTGCAATAACTGATGCGTTATCATACTGCTGTCCACCTCGAGCACAATATTAGGCCGCTTCATGCTGAAAGAGACTGACAGATGCTCCGGATTCAAAACTTCGATGAGAACAGGCTGGCTGGCTGGCTTGCTTCAGGAAGAGAAAGTCATGTGCGGATGAAATTGCAACTCTACGCTACGAATCATCATAGGAGAGAGCGTAGAATGCCAGTCAACTCTCCAGCTCGCCTCAACTTCATCGACTTTGACAAGGCCTTCGACTGCGTCGACTGAGAAGTAATTTGGAAACTGCTTCAACACTACCGTCTTAGTGTCACAAACCTTTATCAAACTCACTCAACAACAGTTATATGCTATATGAGGCCACATGCTGAGTGATTCACAATGGAAAGCTCAGTGACGCTTTTGAATTGAAGACTGGAGTGAGACAGGTTGCCGCCTCTACCACAGATGATCTTCGTGATTGTGGCCGACTGGACTGGACTGGATAATGCAAGAAACAGCTGTGAGGAGGGGGTAATAGGCTGGCTGGACTGATGAAAAGACCCCAGAAGAATTGGGTTTTGCCGATGACGACCTATGGCTAATGTTGCACAGGCTCTATGATCCACTGGCAGAAGTCAACAAGTTGGCAGAAGGGATGAGACGAGTCAGCGAAGGAAGACATGACTTCAAGTGAACGCGGAGAAGATAAAGGTGATGAAGATACCCAACCACCATCACCACCATAACCACCACCACCACCAACAACAACAACAACAAAAAACAACAATCACCATGAACGGGAGAAATCCAAAGGAAGTTGTCTCTTTCACCTGCCTACCTACCTAGGCAGCATCGTTTCTACTACAGCTGGCAGCGGCACACATGAGGATGTCAAAGCAGCCAGGGTCGGAAGACAGCAAGACAGGCCTTCCCGCATTAGTCTGAAATCAGTGTGGAGATCTACTGCACTGCACTGCACCGCACTTCACTGCACTCAGCATAAAGCATGAACGAGATGCGGATTATCAACACTAATTCAGTCGAGTTGGCGCTTCCATATGGTATGGAAAGTTGGCGCATCACGCAAAGCATTTCCAACAAACTGCAGATATTGATCAACAGCTGCCGCCTACTCTCGCTCGACACTGAAGATCGGATGGCCAGACAGAATAAGCAACAAGGAACTCACTGTGGCTGGCTGGCTTGCTGGCTGGTAACGAACCAACCGAGAACCCAGCACCCAACAAATATGCAG